AGATTCAGGATTGCAGGTGATAGGATTGCAGTAACTACCGTGTATCACTACAGCAGGTGATAGCAACAGAGACCTATTAGTGATATATAGGTAGAAACATAAAAACATTGACAGGTCTTTACAATGCACTGGAGGCACAAAACTCACCTAGAGGCATCCCTTCAGGGGAGGAGGACAGTCCATCAACTGATCCCAAGTAAGCAGGTGTTTCCCCCTCTTTTTTTCTTTCTTTGCCCTAAACCACCCCTTCCTTTATGTTGTAGATGGGGTTCTGATGGTTATGATCGTACATGTAAGGCATGTTTTCATTTCTTTTCATTTGAATTCTTAGGATGTAAAAGTTAATATGCAAATAGGCTTAATGAGGGTCTTGATTGTTTTCAGTCAGAATGTACAGTTGACACTAAAGGTAGAATAAACACTTTGGTCCTCCTCCACGTGCTGAGATGGCAGTAAAGGCTGTCTGATCTTCACTAGAAATTCTTTGAGTGCATCCTTATCTCCTTAAAGGACCACATTTATAACAAGGCTGGTTATGCACAGAGGCTGGTAGAGAGATGCAGTTTTCTCTTAGGGCTTCTCTGAGACTTCCACTTCATCCAGGCATCGTTCAGTCCTTACACCTTTCTCGAGCTGGGTACAAGATAAGCAGGGGCACATCCCATGTTTTTCTCAATCAGTCTCATCAGTTCTTCACTGACTTTAAGCAACTCTGTAGCGAGCCTGACCATTTACCGTAATTATGAATGTGTGGTACCGATCCTTGATTTGCTGAAACCAGTGTCAAAGCCCTGTTTTAAGCCAACCGAATCAGACTCGTCAAGTGGGTACGCAATCTCTCATTGTAAACTTGTAACACTTTGCACAGCGTTTACTGAAAGAAAAGAGAAATAATGATCACAGCATGCCATCTGCCAGTTCTCTGGCTGAATGGAACAGACTATGTCAGACAAAGGGTGAGATATGTCTTTAAGTGACCTTTGTGGATTTTTGACAGCTTGGGATTTCTTGCATGGTTGTGGTTTGGTTTAGTTCTGGCTTTTTGTGTTGCTTAGTAACAATATCATGATTTCAAATTTATAGCATTTGTGCAATATGTGAGGTGTTAACATGTTTGTAAAAATTAAGAGTCCAATTAATGTTTCCTTTGCAGAACTTTAAAATTATATGGCTCCTTCCTTTTTCTTTTTTCCTCTTACAAATAACCTAGAATGGTGAAAAATCATAAATCTGCATTTCAGTACTTCTCAAATCAGTAGTGTTTTCAAATGGAGCATATAGCAGAATTAAGTAACTTGTAAAGTATAAGTGGCTTTCAAAGGTCATATAATTGTCTCTGTGGGTAGTTGCACACAGGGTAATGCCCGTGAATAATGTTTCCTCCAAATGAACCACTGAACAAAGAAATCAGTGCCAGAAATCTTACTTGATGACTTGCAGAACTATGTTAGAAAGATTTAAAACAGAGAACCACATACACTTTAACGGATTTCATATGCCATCCCTTCAGCTCTCTATAGCTTCTGCTGGTCTACTGGAATCTATCCTACTATTCAAAATCCATTCAAAATGAGAAAGAGCTAATACAAGATGGGTTGGACCAGGCCAGCTTCTGTAAAGAGACACACCAACTCTGTAGTCACTGAATAGTGGAGAGAAATAGGCTCTCCCAGACAGTAAGTCATCTTCTGTCTTTTAGACACGTGTCATAGGGTGAGATGAATCACCTCCCCTTCTGCAGTGACTGAGCCAAATGTGGCTAGACAACCTCTCCCTTTTAAGGCAGTAAAAGTTTGGTAAGGTTAATCCCAGTCCCCAAGTTATTTTGCTTGTTTTCTGATGATACATTATATTTTGCCTTTGATTTGTTTGGGCAAATAAGATTTTAGAGAGAAACATCTCCATCAGTCCTGACTTGGACCAGGTTCACATTGATTCCTGTGGGAAGTCAGGGTGAGAAAGCACTGCAGGACTTCTCTTCCAGAAAGTGTTTCAGTATTCCTCTCCCTTATTAGTGACATTTTGTTCTACCTTTCCATTCCCTTTAATCACTGGCTAGAGATGATGCTAGCAGACAGTTAGATGTTACCCCCAGGGCCCATGGATTGTCACAATAAATTCTGTGAAAATACATAGTTTGATTAATGTCTACTGCAGGAGCTGAAGGGGCTGCTCCATAATATAAAAATACGATCAACTACTACACACTGTTCCTTTTATTTGGCAATATAATTTTTTCATCATTTTACCCATAGCACAAGCAGTTGGGCTTATGTCCAGTAGAGCTGCAGCAGAGAAAAGGGGGCCTGGCCAGTTGCTGTTGCTGCCCCTCAACTGCTTTCCTGCCTTGGTCCCTTCATAAACAGCAGGAACATTCCTTCTCTCAGCATGCTGAGAGAACATGGCAGATGTTAAGGCCCTTAGTGAAATTAGTTTAGCTGCTAGTACACTCTCTGACCACAGGCAAGAATCTTGTCGGCTCAGAATTTTATATATAACGTAGATAAATTTCTGAGCTCTGTGTCCTGCCATGACCATGGTAAAAATTGGCCTTAGCTTAAAGTAGTAGGATGTATTTTCATGAATCCAGGTGTTTGCCTGTCTGTGCGAAATATTTTGTTGTCCATGTGCATCACAGTGTCTACCAGTGGCACCAGGCTGCTCTCATGGGCTCTGAACATCCAGAAGTCTACGTTTCCATTGACCCCCTTAAGTTGTTTAAAAATGTAGACAAGTCTGATACCTTCCAAAAGCTGTTGGTACTGATATGCATGGTTGGCACAGTGTGTACATGACCAGTCCTAGTGCCATGGGGAATCATCACTTGCCCTGCATGCTGTGAACAGCCTGTGTATTCAGTGTACCTCTGGAAATCCTGGGCTGGCTTGCTAACCCCTGTACGAGTTCAGACCACAACAATGTCCTATGGTTCAGAGAATGTTTGTCTCAATACAGAATGAGAGACAAAAGACAAACTGTTAGAGGACTGCAGGGAAACATTAAAAAATATAGAAGTCAATCAATCAGTTGTTAGACTTAGCATACTGGCAGCTCTAAATTTGCAGAAATTCTATTGCTCTTATGTGGGCTTTTAGGAGGGTAGAGAAGTAGCTCTCAACTGCCAAGGCCAAGGGGAGAAATATCATAGTACTTCTATGTCAAACAACTGGGTGGTGGAGATTGCTGTGCTGGGTTGATCAGAGGCAGAAATTACGTCTTTGAGCCAGATGAGAAATGTTAAGCTAAGTGAAGTATATATGCTCAAAAGCAATTTGAAACAGGAGGAAGAGAGAGTACTGATGCCCAACTAATTGCATACTCCACCTGTTTCAAATCTCATATTTTGTTGTTCAGACAAGCATGCAGTTCCAGTTTGGACCTTATCTGCCCATAGTGAGGTCAGTGCTGAAACTTTGGGTTCTGTTTTGTCTACATGTCTATTCATTTGAATGACCCCTGTCTGTGGTATGAGGATCCATCCAGTATGGATCAGTACTAAAACGAGGTCTCTGGTGAGAAATGCTAGGCAGAGATACTCAGGCTGCTTCCACTTCCAGATTTTGCATGGGATGGATGTTTTCTGATCTTTAAAGGAAAGTAATGTTAGTTCTTGCAAACACAGTCTCCTTTCTCTAGTGAGGCAATACTTAACAATCCTACTGCTATTACACTGAACACATTCTGCATAAAATCTTGATTTAATACTCCTTTTAGTGGTGATTTCTTATCTATACTGCTTGCCCCACTGTATCAGTAAACAAGTTGACAAGACTGCAGCTGTCTTTTGCAAATTAACAAGTTCACCCCTGTATAGAAAGCCAACTCTGTTGAGGCATAGCATAGACATGTGGAATAGTGGCAAACTGGGCTTCTGCAAACTGACATTACTTCATAGAGCAATGCAGCCAGATATTCTCACTTTGACATAATAGCCCCATGTAATTCTCCTTTTCTAGCTCTGAGTTACCTTTTTGACAGCCTCTTCATGAGGCACTAAATTTGCTTCTGACTGATTGAGGCCAAGTCAATCGCAAATCACACTGTCACATCTAAGAATTCATGAGTTTTCAGCTCTGTGAAGTCTTTCACCTTTTTGAATTGACCATATGTTTGCTGGAAAAGAGATTCAGGTTTGAAAATCAGATTCTCTACGTATTGATTTAATAACTGCAAAGTAGAAAATATCTTCTCTGAGTATAATGGCAACACTTAAAAGAATTGATTACATTTCCAGTAGAATTTACACTTTTGTGAAAGGCTATCAGCTTAATTGGGAAAATAAAACTCAAACTATGACTTGCTCCCTTCTCCTGGTGAGGAATTCAGTGTTTTAAAAAGCCCAGAATGGCATGTTGCTTTAAAAGTATTGTTTTATGAAGCAAATTATTTAACTGTATATTTGGGGTTGAGTTCTCCTTGTTGCTGTTATTTCTCATGAAACAGCCCAGCTCTCTTCCAGTCCTTAGCTTGTCATTTCTTTTGTACATCAAGTTTTCCACTGCCAGGATGTGTCATACCTCACCCCCTCAGTTGTCCTGGGTAGTTCTGGGTTGGTTTTCTGTGGCTGCAATTGTCTTCCTGCCCATGAAATGATAACCATACATCCCACTTAACAGCATGTATAGCTACCACTTCCTTCATTCTAGGGAAAGGTTCTATCACACCTGTATCTTTTAGTCAGAGGCTGGACTAAAAATTTTATTGAGACAAATGTAGTAGTAGTAGAGATCCCAGCCAGATAGAACATAGAAGTAATATGGGAGCCAGGACTCCGTGAATGAAAGCTGTTTTCTGTGCATAGTTTTGGAGGCAAATGTCTCATGTACAGGTGTTAAACAGCCCATCTCCCATCTTTCAAGGGGGATACAACTCAATGCTTGGATAGTTTTCAATTACCAATATCCAGCAAAAGGAGAGTTGTTTGGGGCTTTTTAAAGTGTTCTTGTAACATCCCTGTGGTATGATACAGTAACTTCTATTTTTCCTATAATGTCCTTCAGGAAGTGTCTGTGTGACAAGAAAGCCACTTAATAATGAAAAAATTCACGCTGTTTGATTTTGTAAATGATAATTCACTGCAAATTGGAGAGACTTCATGGATACAGGACCTTCCCTGTGATGACAATGAACTAGAAAGACTTCTGAAACCTAATGAGCATGTACTAGTAAACTGGCCTGTGGGAGAAAGAAAGACAGAGAAGCACCTGGTTAAAGTTGTGTACATGAGTGGTGAGTGCAGTTCCAGAACATTTGCCTGAGATGAGCCATGCTTTTAAGGTATAGTTGCCTGATTGTGCTTTGGCCTTTTTCCTTTCCATCATTTCAGATGACCCCCAAGAGCTGGTGGAAATGATGCAAAAGATATTACGAGCAGATGAAATCACAAAAATACAAGTCCTTGGAAAAGGCAAGAGGAAGAGGATAGAAATGATATTCTCAGAAAGTGAGGACAGTGACTTGGATAAAGAAAAGGTTGAGTTTTTGTCTTATTGTGCTGTATATTGTTAGGTCCATAAAGGAATGAAATAGACTGTAACTATTGATTTTTCATGATATAATACACAAAAGATCTATAGTAAAGGTAGGAATACAGGCAGCCTTCACATGGTACCTCAGCACAATAACCTGTCAGAGTTATTACTTAGGCCAATGGATTTTGTCCTTTTCTGTGTCAAGAGATGAATGTTATTCAAGGCTTTTATGCTCTGTAGCTCCATTACATTTTCCCCCGTAAGACAGAAATCTAACTAGTGCATAAAAAAGGGAAGGGACCAGGTTTTCTGAGGTGTGCCTTGTGCTGAGATCTGCAGTGACAAAACATAGGAAAGGAAAACATAAAAGTTAACAAAGCTACAAATACATTTTTAAAAACTATTAGCCAAGAATGTCAAGCACTTAGTGAATAAAAATTTATGGTATATTATGAAATACTGTAATGAAAGGCTCTATAGGAATGCAAAGGCACTGTTATGCACTTTTTACAGGGGAAGATGATGAAACATATAAAAAGAAAGAAATCATTGCAGGCATCTGCTCCTGCCAACATCCTGAGTCAATTTGAAACATCTTTAATTAACAAACAGGTAAACATCAATTTTCAGCAATTTTAATGTATTAAGCAAAAGCAGTCTGAAAGGTATTTTTTGAGGAAGGCATAGGATTTTTGCCATAGTGAAGTTAACAATTCTAAAAGATTCAGCTTTGTAAAATTGGTGCATAGAGAACAAAGGTACCTAACAGTTACATATTACACTGACCTTTCATATTTAATTTCAATAAGAATACCAATAGCTATGTTTGGTAACAGCTGTTATTAAAATGTACTGAGTCTGTTTATACACAAGATTTTTTTTATTTAGCCAGATATTTTAATGCTAATTTGGTGCTTTGATTTTATGTTGTTGCTCTAGATATCACAGTTGTTTGGGGTTTTTTTTCAGAGAGAACCATATTCAGGAAGCAACTTTCTATATAGTGAAAGTAGCAGTGATGATGAAGAGCCTTTATTTCAACTCTCCAAGGTAGAACTATGTGCCAAAATTAAAAGTCTCAAGAGGAAGCTGACAGATACCATGAGAGAAAACTGCCGCCTCAGGCAGTCCCTGGTGATGCTTCAAGGTAAAGTTGGGAGTATTTTGATGAAGAGGAAAGCCTGAAGGTCAGGAAAAGCTTGATTTATAAGAGGCCATTTGGATGGGAATTATGGATGCTCAAGCACCTGACATGATCAAGGCCTACCATTAGCATCAAAGTCTGTGATACATGGCAGCATTTAATTCCAGCAGCACTTACTGTCTTACACAGAGGCAATCATAGAGTTAGAAATGAGAAAAATCTGTCTAAATCCTGTCAGTTGTTCCCAAGAGAACCCTTCTGTATGCTGTGTAACCATTGGCTAAGCCCAAATACTTCTCTGACCAGTCCAACCAACCTTATTTACTAGCACTCTTTCTTGATCAATTGATATTTCATTTATTCTGAAATTACTTAATTTCTAATTACTTTGGTGATTCCTCATTACTCAGATTACCTGAAACGAATCTGAGTTAGTTTCAGATGCACCAAATTTAATTCTTTCCCAGAGATGAAATATTTTGTTCCTCTGTAAATGAATCCTTCATCTCTTAGTGGTCATCTTTGATGCACCTCTCACTTTTCCCTGTTCCTTGCTCTGAGGCAGCCAAAACTGAATCCAAAATTTCAAACCGTTAGTGAATGAATAAGGTTTAAAGATGATTTACTCCTTCCCTTGCCAGCTACACCATACCATCCCTTGACAGTCTGGTATCTGTTTTGGGGTTTTTTTGTCAGATGATTTTGCAATTGTTTACCATTTTCATTTCCCACCTGACTTCTTTTCTTATGTTATTCATCTTGGTTTGAATCATTCATCTCCACCTTTTAAAATATTATTTGTAAACATTTTCTTAGTGTCTGACAACTTTTCTCACACATATAAGTCAATTTGCCTTGCATCCTGAGCAATTATCTTAGTCTTTACAGTGTTTTCTGTAATTTAGTGATTTTGTATCTTGCTGATATGTCTCCTCTTGCATCCTTTTTGTGATACATTGATTCTTCTTAATGGATGCAATAAAAGTTTATGTTTGAAAATATTACTTTGAGGGAAGGTTATTTAAAACATATTCTCTATAGATTAAAAAAGGGGAAAGCTTCTGCAGTCTGTGTAACTTCTTTGAAGGAAAAAAATCAGACATCACTTAGCCCATATTCAATAGCTTTACGGACTTGTAGAGATATTGAGATTGTAAAAAGAAAAAAAAAGAAACAGTCTGTTTTGTGCCATGATGGGCGTAAATAACTCTTCTTAGCCTTGCACTGAACTGAGGCCAGATCTTCATGGGTGAGGACAGTAGAATGGCAGGAAAGCATTTGAGAGAGGAGGAAAAAAGTATATTGAAATGTCCTTGCTGACTACTTTGAGTCTTTCACATTATGACAGGAATCTAATTGCAAAAATATCCCTGCTTATGTAATTGGAGTCTGAAAGCTTCAATTACTATTTTATCCCTCACTTTTCATTTGATTTCAGTGTTGCCACAGGCAGTTACTCATTTTGAGGAGCTGGTAGGAATGGCTGAAGCACTGCTCAAAGGGGGAGTGACGTCATCTACGTCCAGTCTGCATCCACATGCTGTTTGGAAGGCATCTCACAATCCATTAGCAGATTCCTATGCAGCTATGCATAGTAACTCCAGCTCACCAGTAACTTTGAATGTGGAAGATGAGGAGCAACAGACTGAAAAACAGGTCAGTTAAAAGGCAATTTCAGGCATAAATATTTATACAGTATAAAGTTTACTGCTATAGCATAATATAAAAAATAACCATCAGTAAAATAATTTGTCATCATTGCATTGATAACATGACTAATGAGCTCCTTTTGTGCAGAATGCTCTTTCTATAAGAAGCACAAGCTTTTATTCAGTGTGTTGTATACTTTCAAATTCACTTTAATTTCGTAGACCTTGCATATCTGTGACTGAGGGCAGAATGTGGATACATGAAGAAAATACCAAGATCCAGGAATAACTTCCAGTCTAATTATTTGGATGCCAAAGGAGAATGATAGTATTTCAAAGATAATCTAAGAAGAATACCAGCAGTCTGTTCAAACTGTTAATTTTTGCTAATTGGAGCGTGCTATGTTTCTTCTCCTGTTCTAGACACTAGCTATCAATTAAGTAAAAATACATGTATACAGAGATACTGAGTAAAGAAATTCCTTTATTCTCTGAAATTATAAAAGAACATGATTGAGAAATCTAAGGCACAGAGGCTGTAAAAGAAAAAAAATGAAGGCACAACCAAAAGAATGATTTTAGCATCTGCATTCACAATTTACATAAACATTATTATGCATTGAGTCATGCTAATCCATGCAAATCATTATTGTGTGTTGTCATGGAGTGCTAAAATCCAAATAAGTCTGTTAAGAATTATCGTGGTATGTTTTGACTGCATATTGCAAACCACAGAATTTGACCTAACATCTTCAAAGAAATAAAAAGACCTAATTTTCTGAGCAACCTGCCTATTAGGAGAGTTCAAATTCTTAGGCTGTACGACTGCTGCGTGCAGAAGCCACTCTCAAAGCCCAGGACCAGATGTCACAGTTCTTAGGGTATGTCTGCTCGCAGGCAGGAATATTTGGTTGGGCACAGTGCCATGCTACCAAGGCAGTACAGAAACCATGCCAGAACTGGACCACAGCCAGCCTGCATGGAGTGCAAGCAGAAGGATTTTGCTATGTCTGAACATGTCCTGTCTCCACTAGTGAGTAATAAGGATTGCCTGGTGAAGGGTTTGCTAGAATGCATGGGGTAGATAGTCTGCCCCACACTTCCTTCTGGAAAACAATCAAGCTATGTGTATAGTCCCAAACACTGAGCAGTATGCAAGTGTGTTGTTCCCTCAAGCACACCATTTGCAGAGATTACTTTTGAAATTATTGTTTAAAAATAGAAAATGAAAAAGATATTTCAGTGGTTATACTATGTAATATATCTAGAAAACCGCAATAGTTATGCCTATGACCAATTTTGTTTTCCAGTTCAAGATCGAAAAGTGGCAGATTGCACTTTGTAACAAGAGCAAACCTCAAAAATTTATAAACGACTTGATGCAAGCACTTTATACACATGAATACATGGCTACACACAGCCTGACAGGTGCAAAGTCTTCCTCTTCAAAGGATAAAGCGGCAAAACCAGCTATGAATCAGAATGAAGTTCAGGAAATCATAGGTGATGACTTGTTAAAGTTACTCAATGTGGCTCTGACTTGACAAGGGGCTTTCTCGGAGGGAGGGACTGTCATGCTTAACAGCTGGTCTACTCAGGTGATGAGCTGCTTCCCATTTCTTTCTTCAGCTACCTGCTTTTTTAAACCATCTGTTAAAAATACTGCCAATGAAATGCTAAGTAGTAGTATTTCTATTGTGCGAATTCTGTGGGTTTTATTCAAGTGACTGCTCAGGCACAGTGATATTATAAATTTTTTTAGCCCTTGCAAGGTTAACCTGCAACAGTCAAACTTAGAGAACAATGATAACAGATAAGGGAAGGCAAAAAGAGGACACGCTTGGATCAAATTTTAAATTATGTCTGCTGTGTTCTGAAGTTTAGTGGATGTTATGAATTCTGACATTTTAAATAGTGCTAGAGGCAAAATGAGACTGTATAGAAGACAGAAATAGTGATCAGAGAAGCAAACAAAATTTGATTTATGCTGAGGTTTACTGCATAAAATATGTGGTGCATAGGACAGAAAATAATTTCAGATGGAAGTATCAGCTTTAAAGAAAACAGTGAGCATATGAAGCAAAATTTTAATTGGATTCACACCTATAACTAAATACTAGAACAATACAGCCTTAATTACAGTAATTCCTCCCCCACTGCCATTTTCTTGGACTTCTGCAGTTCTCTTGGTTCCCTTTCCAGCTTAGCTCCAGTTCCTGTACCTTAGTACAGTTTTGTTGAAGTTAGCCAGCAGTTTCAAAAGTTATCACTTGCAAAAACCATTTTTCCTTAAGTACCTTGTTTGAAAAAAAGGCCCGAAGTCAAGAGAGATAAAAGGAAAGAGTGTGGAGGATGGTAAAAATATATTTAGAGGCAGTAAGATGAGACAATTTCAGAACGACTTTTGAGAAAAATGAAAAATACTTAATGGGATGAGAAAAAAGGTTGGACTCAATCATAATGGTGTTTCTCAATCTAAATTATTTTATGATTCTAAATCCTACTAGGGCCTAGGCAAAACTGAAAAGGGAAGCAGAGAAGGTAATCAGGACAATACAGCATGTTGTGGAGAATTCAGTGACAAAGCCTATAAAGAAATCAAAGAACTTTGTTAAGGTTGAAGAGAATACTCTGGAATTTAAACAGAAAAGTGTCAACATACAAGAGAAAAAGAAAAATTAGAAGGAAGCTTGGGAGTTCTAGGACTGTAGAAAATTACTTAGTTGATCAGATTATTTAAAGAAGATGGAAATTGTAGGGCTTCAAAATAAAATTAAATGAAAGGGCAGGGAAATCAAGGGGAGGGAAGATGATGAAAAAGAAGGCAGCAGGAATCATATCCCTCATGTTGAGTCCTGTTACTATTGCATTCAAAAAATGTAGCCAGGCAAAACAGAAGGGAAATTTTTAGAAAAAGTGACATCACCTGCAAATGAAAATTAATGAGGGAAAAAAAAAGTACGATTCAGACTCCTAAGGACTGATGAGGATAGGAAAAGGACTCTGATCAAGACCAGAACATAAGGACGGAGGATTAGCATGCACAAATCACTCACTACAGAAGCTCTTGTGGCCCTGGAGATCCTTTTGGGTCTGCCAAGGGAAGGCACAGCAATGTGGAAGGTGCAAAGTAAAACAGGAGCTGGCATGTGTAAAATCTATGAAGGAGTTTGTAAAGATAGTGAAGTAACTAGAGTGAAAGCTGAAGTAGCTGGAACTTTAAAAGATGCAAGAAATATATTTTATATCATACATCTCTTGTTTCCCTGCTTTGGAGGCTATATACATATATATATATATATATAATCTCCTTATTTTTCAGGAATCACGAAACAGTTGTTTCCAAACACAGATGATGCTTTAATTAGGCGAATGATGGGACAAAAACTGAACAACTGCACCAAGAAGCCAATTTTAAGCAAAGATCTTAACTCAGGTGCTTTTCAGAAACATAGCTTTTGGTAAGTCAAATACAAAAATTCATGCACTGTGTAATTCTGTGTATTACTTCATAGTAATAAAATCTAAAAGCAGTCTTAAAATTCAGATAACAATACATATTTACCTATTTGGTATATGCACTACCAAGCCAGTAAATATTTCCATAACCTTGTACAAAAAGTATGCAATACAGAAGCAGTCCAGCTTAACATTACTGCACAAAAATAGTTATTGGTTCTAGACAAAGCAGCACTATTAGGGAAAACAGAAGTAAACACATGGAGCTGCTTTCCTCAATATGTCTATTTTAGATTTGCCATTATTTACCTTTCTGGTTATTCTCTGGCTCATCAGAGACCAGACAATTCTATTTTCATGTCACCTGTTGTACCCCAATTAACCCACAAGTGAATATAAGGAAAATCACACCTCTTTGGTACATATTTATAAGAGTACTGTAGGAGAGCTAAACTGGCAATCATTTACTGCCAAAAGAGTCTAAATTATTGGGTCAGAGGAATTAGTAAACAACATCTTAGCTATTATGGGCATTTTTGCCTTGTGAATGAAGGTAATATAAAATTGCCGAACTCATGGCTACGGTTGGTGAAGTCAGCTATTTGCACAGTACAGTTTCCACATACACCAGATCTACATATGACAGAATGGTGAAGCTGGAAGGGACCTCTGTAGGTTGGCTGGTCCAGCCCCTGCTGCTCCAAGCAGCAAGGGTCACTCAGAGCAGGTTGCTCAGAGCCATGTGCAGTTTGGTTGAGTAGCTGCAGAGGCAGAGACTCCACCACCCCTCTGGGCACCCTGTGCCACTGCTCTGCCACCCTCATGGTGTTTCCTGATGCTCACACAGGACCTCCTGTGTTTCTCTGTGCTCTGCCCATTGCCTCTGGTTCTGCCACTGGGCCCCACTGAGAAGAGCCTCCATCTACTTTACAGTCTCCCATCAGACATTAGTGCACACAGATAAGATCAGCATGAGCCTTCTTGAGGCTGAACAGGCCCAGCTGCCTCAGCCTCTCCTCAAGAACTCGATAAGAAATGAGCAAGAAACAGGACAAGAGATTAAAATAGGGTGACAGGCAAAAGAGATTTGTCCTTACTTAGACTTTCTATACTGAAGTAATGTTTTTCTTCCTGGTTCCAAATTTGCAACCGTAAGACACTTCATAAGAAAAAAACCCACAAAAATCAACACAACAAAACAAAAAAACCCCAACAACAACAAATAAGAAGCACCCCAAGATATTTGACTATGTTATGATACAAATGTTTGAAAAGTAGTAGTGCTTTGCTTCTAAAATTCCTTTCTAAGCCATTGGGTAGTACTCCATACCCACCAGTGGTCTGTGAATTATTACTTCAGAAATACTTACAGAACGTCTGTTAGGAAAATCCACATACAAAAGATTTTCCATCTGGAAACAATAAACAAATGTACCAGCCTGGCAAAAATAAAGTTTACTGTGTTAATGCTTTTCTCCTAGAGAAGACTTAATAAATCAAAGGTCCTGTGTATTTGTAACATACAGTATGCAATGATTCACTGCAGTATTTTTCCTTGTCCTTAACACAGGCATGAAAAATAATAACACAAAACCACACATTTTTATCTTCTTTGAAAGTAATAAAACCTTAAATATTTTAAATCTTTATCTTCATCAGATGGATCCACAAATTTTGTTAATTCCTGAGTCTTCTAATGTACTCAGTATTCCTGAAGCCTCGATAGGAAGACCTTGACTATACTAAAACAATTCTGGGTTGTTATTTAATACTGCCTATAGACCTTCCAATTTAAACTCAATATTTTAAAAATGCCCTCATGTCTGTTATTGATCAGTGTTTATGCAAAATCCAGCCCAACATCTATTGTAACCAATTCAGATATTACCTGAATAGTGTCTTTTGAACTGATGCATTTATAATGGTTTTTTTTTGCATCTGTTAAGAATTACCTCATTGTCAAAGCAGTTAAGCACCACATAAGTAATCAAGATAACTTGGTGATTCCTTTAACTCAGATGACACACATTCTCTGTAAGAAAAGTAAGACAATTTAAAAGTGCTCACAATCTCACTGTTACTCCTTCAGTCCACCTACCAGCAATGAAGTAGAGAGGGGTAGAGAAAATTCTGTTGTGCAGTACCTTTAGTAACCACCTATCCACAAAAGTTACTAACTTTAAAAACTGGTGACGCTGCAGCTTTTATTTCCTCCCTTGCTGCTGTTTCTTCCTTACCCATCTCTTCCACCTTTTCCCAGAGTAGAATTATGACTCAAGAGAAAAAATTTGGACTCCCATGAGACAGACAAGTTTCCATCTCAGATCCATGAAGCTGGGGTGAAACAAGGAAAAGGGCAATGTGACAGTGAAGAAAACTATTTAACTAGCTAATAAACAAACTCTGCAGCTTGGAAACTAAGAATAGTACTAATTGCACATTTAGTGTTAATATCTCAAACTTAGTTATAAATTGTCTCAACAGTGGTTCAACAGCTGCTCCTCAGGGCATCAACTCTTCGGCTGCTCCTCCTTGTACACAAGACCAGCAGGATGATGATTCACCAGCTGCTAGAGCACAACTTCAGCAAAGTGACAGCAGCCTGGCTCCTCCAGCTCCCACCCTCGAAGGTCAGCAGGAGTGTCCCAAACCCACTTCTAAGGCAGAGTCTCAACTCGCCAGCAGCTCACCAGCGCCCTCTCCCAACCAGGGTTGTGGACAGGATCTCAGGAATTCAGACAAGGAATAACAGAACGTGTTTCATTCCAGCTCACATGCTCAACGGAGATTAAGAAGCAGTATAAAACAAAAAATAAATAATATCTAAATTGTACTAGATATATGGCAGTGTCCAACAGTGGACAGAGATAGAAGCCTGAGAACTTTTTTCTCAAACAGATGAAAATCCCTTACTCTAGAAAAAAAATGAAGGCATATTAATATCTTTGGATTTAAGATGTTATAAGATATATGCATGTTATGCAGTAATTAAAACTTGTAAGGAAGAATATGAGTAGAGTTCCCCTTAGTTAGAAAAAAACATTATTTAAAGTAATACCAAAATATTATCTATGAAGAACCATAATTCCCCTTGCTTTCACCTTGAGAGCTGAGCGAAAAGTGCTTAACCATTCACAGAAAGCTATTGTATAATAATGCAAAAAAAATAGTGATATGGAGAGAAAATAGAAAAATCTGCTAGTGAAACGAAGACTGTGGCCAACACAGGAGTAGAAAGCACAGGGCCACATGAGCAGAGAAGAAGAAATAAAATAGATGTTTAAGGCTGCTACTAACTTGGAAAACAAAAAAAATCTTTCTTACGGCAATGAAACTACAACTTTCAAGATATGCACAGGAAAGAAGCAGTTATTTTTTAACCTCTCAAAATAGGAAAGGCAATGAAAGAAGCCATGTTCCTTTGTAGCTTAGGGAAGAGTCCTCCAGGAGAGTCTGTCTAGTTATGGAAGCCATTCTCTTACAAGGATTCTGCTGCTGGTACTCTGCTGGTTCGGCAGCTCTTACTCTCTTCTTCCCTGACCATCAGGTCCATAGGATAAGTGTGCCTGGTCCCTTCAGTTAGGAAATAGAAGACACTTCAGCAGAAGCTACTGGTAAAGGGCAGAGTTGTCAGCTTCTACTCCCTGTGTTTTGATTTTGGTATGCTACCCCTTGGCTAGAGAAAGGGTGGACAGGCAGAATATTCCTCACGGGACTAAAACCAGAAAAATCCCAGTATCTGGGCAGTTCCCCTTGATATCTGATGCCAGTTCTTCCAGGAAGCAGCTGGCAGTCACACAAGTCCTATAAGAGCCTAAGGAAGGAGGAGGAGGAGTGGAAGGTACAGGTTCCCCAGGGCAGTGGTCACCAAGCCTGCTAGAGTTCAAGAAGTGTTTGGACAGTGCTCTAGGGCACATGGTGACTCTTGGGGTGTCCTGTGCAGGGTCAGGAGTTGGACTCGATGATCCCAATGGGTCCCTTCCAACTCAGCATATTCTATGGTTATGTGATTTTTGTTTTCCTTGCTGACTGATTTCAGGTTTACAGTGTGCTGGCATGGGAAGAAGAGAATGCTTGGGACTATAGCTTTCCTGTTTGAGTGTACTTCTCACAGAACTGAGAGTACTATTAGCTGAATCTATTTCAAACATGGCAAACTAACAAATCAGATTGGAGAAATGAAATTAAGTTGAAGAAATCTAGCTTGAATTATGGAGGATTTCAGGATATCTGAATTACAGAAATAAATTACAAATAATAGAGTGAACACTGAAAAAAAATCTGAAGATAAGGTTATCAGCCAAATACTGCTGAAGGGAAGTGCTGCAAGTCTAACTGTTCTAGAACAAGGCACTGTGGAGAAGACTTTTTTGTGGGCTGGGGTACAAATTGATTTGCTATCCTTTTTCATCTCTCACCCTACAATTCCTTGTAGATCGGATCAGGATGAAAGCAGGTATGAAATATGTTAGTTCTATCTCATGCTATTAACTACCATCTATAAAATGTAACAGAAGGATGTTTACTATTATGTAAATTTTGTATATGTAATTGTATGTACAGCATATATATTAATTTATATAGTTAATCATATTTTTGAAGTGACTTTCTATCAAATAAAATGAAACATTACTATGTCTTAATACTGTTTTATTGTCCTCACTGTCTAATGGGTCTTTTCTTACATCAGCCTTTGTGGAAACACTCTTAACATACAAAGTTGGGTTTTTCTCTCACTCGTTTTTTGAGTTTTTTTCTTTCTCTTTAATAACTGTTCTGAAGCCGGCTTCTGTAAAGATTGTCATTTTACCTGGCCCACCTCAAGGGCATTCTAACCTTAAAGCTGTCACAGCTGATGTTGCACAGCTGCAGCTGTTCTGCCCTCGGGGAGGCAGACAGAGCCTGGGGCTGGTGCAGCGCTGCAGACCCCGTTGTACTTCGCGCTTCTCTACTCTGCCGGCTTGGTAAGTCGTCAAAGGAAAACCAGTGGGGCTGGCAGCTCGCAGCAAAAAGTATGGGAGGAGTTTCATGGTAGGGTGGAGGTCCTGCTCCCAGGCATGGGCCAGGGAGATAGGTGGGTATTCTGGAGAAGAGGAACAACAAAATGGAAGGAGATATTTTAATGTTTTAATAAAGGATAAAAAGTGAGAGAGCTGCAAATAGACTGTTCCTTTCTCTTACTAAATTATAGAAACAATGTTATCCCACTGGGTGAAAGCAGATAAATAGCTGTACACAGATATACCATTAACAAAAAAAGGGCCGTATCTCTTGCAGTATGACCAGAAAGGTACCAAATACAACTGTTTTTACCCTGACAAACTCTGAGAACACAAAATTGAAAACTAGATAATCACAGATTAGAAACTTCAGAAGTAAGAGAAAGGGATATCAGATTAGCATAATGCTGCTTCTCCCAAAATCTGCATGAAAGTAAAAATAAATTGGTTATATGTAAATGTGTGGTTTCAAAGTGGAAAATTCTGATGTGAGCAACAGAGAGCACATTATTTGCAGTCCTCAGAAAGGGAGAAGACTGATGGCTGCTACAGAAGCTGTAGTGGCATTAGACTGTACAGCATTTAGTAACTGGACATTTACTACTGAAAAGGTAAGCAATACTAAAACTAATAATTTGAACTATTTACTTATATTATTGCATATTAGATTGAATTGAATGGAAAAGGATTTGGTAACTATTTATCATGAAGTGCTCAGAACAGTACTAGTTTTTTAAGGTGGGAAGAATATTGAGATATATGAAAATAAGGATAAAAATCTTAAGTATAAAAAGAAAAATATACTGTTGAATAAATCAGGGAGTTTAACACATGTCAATTTCATGTCCCATGTTATTATGGCATATAGAGAGGAGTAAAAAACCCCAAACCATCAGATATCTAAATTTTCTCGATCAAGAGTAAGTGGCAGTATGCCATGTTGATACAAGAGGGAAACCAATGGTTATGAAGGCAATCAGTGTTTCACTTAGGGGTGTTGGGGGTTGAATTGTTTCCTTTTCTTTCTGTTGAATTTTTCCTATTGTTATGCTAAGTATTTGTGGCTACACCTCAGTAGCAATAGTTTCCTCTCGCAGGGGGGTGGGGGATAGGGGGAGACCGGACAAGGAAAGGTGGGACAGGGGTCTGGGCTCTCTCGGGCTCTCGCTTGGCTCGTGGAGTGGAAGGAGGACGGCCCGTGCTCCGATCCAGCATCTTCCCCACCATCCCAGCGCCGAGAGCCACGTTCCCTGCAGTCGAACACCGCTCTGCTGCTCTCCCACCTCATCCTACTACCTCCGGGCACTCTGCCGATGGAGGGCGGGAGTGGCTCCTCCATCCCTCTCAGCCCTGGGCGCTGCCGCCATCACCCAGCGCCTTCAGCTGCGCGGGGCCTGCCCTGCCCACAGCACCGGGAACTGAGCGCAGGGAGAGAGGGCGTGTGGCCAAAGGGACTGGAACTGAGCTATACTGTTCTGTTCTGTTGTCAATTTTTATAGCTGTTGTTGTTTCTGCTATTTTGCCTTGTTAGGTATCAGTAAAGAACTGTTATTCCTATCCCCATATCTCCTGCCTGATAGCCTCTGATTTGAAACTAAAATAATTAGAAGGGAGGGGGTTGCACTCTGCATCTCAGGAAAGGGGTTCTCGCCTTTCCTTAGCAAATACCTGTCTTTCAAACTGAGACAGGGGAGCAAGAAGAGAAGCAAGAATGTTGAAATATGTTTGAATTAGAATCATAGTATTGTTCAAGTTGGAAGGGACCTTAAAGATAATTTAGTTCAAACCCCCCTGTCGTGGGCAGAGACATCTTCCACTACATCAGGCTGCTCAAAGCCCCATCCAACCTGGCTTTGAACACTTCCAGGGATAGGACATCCACAATTTTTCTGGGCAACCTGTTCCAGTGCCTTACCACCTTCACAGTAAGGAATTTTTTCCTAATATTATTTAATCTAAACCTACTCTAAAGGGCACATAGTGAATATGTGGAATTAGTTGCTAGAGAGCATTACTGAGTTTATAAAGATCATCTTCTCTGAAACAGCTTCCACATCCTATGTGATATCCAGACTTCATGTGAGCTTTGGACTTGGAGATCTCATTAAGATCTCACAAAAACCCCTGCTTCTCCTTACCTCACCTCCCCCCCGCCAAGAAGTTCTGCATAATAACAATCATAAAATGGCCCAAAGCCCAACAACTGTTCTTTCACAGGAGTTAGATGAAACACACAAATTTTGGAATTCAGAGTTTTCTTAGCATATTGGAAATTATTGCATGGCAACTCCCATACTATTTTTTTTCTTTAACTGTATTGTTTACATACAAGGAGGAAATTTGGACTAGTCATTGCAAGAGTAAACATTTACATTAATTACTAAAAATTTCATATTTAAATGAGAATCATTTGCATAGGGTCAGAGTTTGGAAGAATAATGCCACCATGCTGCCCTAGTAATTTTTTACTACAGGACTTCATATTAACTATTCTCAAGAATCAAAACTTATCAAGTACAAATGCAAGCTTACAGAATGACTGCTATCAAACATTCCGTTAGCAAATTCAAGTTACAAATGCAAAATATTCAAGTTTAGGCAGCAACGACTTTCCAAAAGGCAGTCAGGTTTCCATTATTTTAATAATGAAATAAAACTAGACAAATGAGTGTTGTTTATACACTCCAACAAGAGTGATTAAGTCATACAGCTGTTAATGAGCACATAACTAGTAGATACAACTAGCAGCTCAGTATGTCTATCTTCTATCATAAAGCTGTTTTTATATTCATACAGAACGAGGCTTAAAACTAACAGTAGTAACTCAGTGTTTTCAAGGAAAATAAATGCACTAATTATTCCCTACAGTATGTGATATGATATTGCTGATAGTTGTTTATTCTCTTGCATAACACCAAAATTTAACATGCAACCTTGAATTCTTTCTCTGCTGTGTTTACAGGATTTGATAAGCACACACCAGTGAAGTGCTTTGTAGGTATACAAGCAGCTCTTTTATATTGACACGCAACTCACAGGTGACATTTACACTGTTCAGCTTACTCAAAGCCAAAGCATTGAGTAAAGATGATTCATCCTGACTTCTATTTTGGGTGGCAAAAAGTAATTATATGAAGAAGCGGGAGAGCAGTAGCAGATAAATAGCAAGAATCATGGGCGTGGGGGTCTGAGTGATGTTTTCTCAATCCTGGCAAAGAGGAGCACTGATAGGACAAGTCAATACTTGTTGGCAGAACCTGTGTTGGTGACAAGGATTTGAGTTGTATGACCATGGGACCCTGCTTGCAAATCACGTTCTGCTTGACAGAGATAAGATCCACCTCACT